GGCGTACGCCGCGGCGCGGATCCGTGCCGTTCCAACCGACCCCCCCACTGGGCATCTCGTTATGCCAGAGACCCCAAGGCTACGGCGCCTTGAGCCCCCCCCCCCCACCCCCGCGCCGCGCGACCCCTCCGTCCCGGCCTTACGCAGTCACAACGCCTTGCAGTTGCACCCGGCCCGCGGCCGGCTCCGCCTCGCCTCACCACTGATCGCCCTGCGGCCCCTGCGCAGGCGTTCCCTCGACTCGCTCAAAGCGACGCGTCGGGTGTGGGCTGCTCCCTTGCCCCGCCACCCGCCGCCCCCTCGCCGGCCGCCTCACCGCGCACGGATCCTTCGCCTGCTCGCCGCCGCAGCCGCGTGTCCCCGCGCCGCCACGCTTGCCCCCTCTCCTGACGCGCACCCCGCGCAGACGGCGCTCCGGGACAGACGGAGCAGCGACCGCTGCCAGCGGTCGCTGCTCCGCCGCCGCTGCCGCCGCCCCCGCCCCCGCCCCCGCTCTCTCCCCTTCGCCTTCCCCGGTGTGTCTGCTGTCTCCTCGTGAGAGGATATGTGACCCTGTGTGCGTGTGTGACTGTGAGTGTTCACTGGAAATCCGCGTGATCCCGTGAATTCGAAGGGCTGACAGGGGTTCGTTCGGGGTCTCCACGTGTGTTGCCTGAGCTGAAGTCTGTGAGAGAACACGGTGTGGTGCGTATCGTGTGCGTGTACGAGAGCGATTGAGTTTGAGAGCTGCCAGGGTAGAGCCCGACAAGCTGCCGAGCCCGAAGGAGGCGGGGTCCTCCCCGGCGGCCCCCGCGCACGCCGTCTGAGCCTAGCGCAGCGCGAACTCGCTCTGAGCCTAGCGCAGCGCGAGATTTGCGCAGCAACCCGGCCGGGCAACCCTTTACAAAAAGTTATTCTTTTCATAATCAGGCTGCTATAACTCAAGGCCAATGGTTGTTATACCAAAAGGAGGGCTACACGACGCCCTCTACGCTGGGGTGCCGGCGCCACTCACCCCGACCACGTCCTTTCGACTCGCCCGCGGCCTCGCCTCGACTGCCGCTGGCTCATCGCGCCCTCACCTGGTCGTACTCCTCCACGGCCTGCATGGCGAGCCGTCTGACATGGCTTTTATCCACCGCCGCCTCCTCCAGGGCGGCCACGGGCGTCTGCACGTCCTGTCGGCGGCGACGGCCGGCGACCAGACGGACGGCATAGACGCCGCCGGCCTGCGCGTCGCGCGCGAGATCGAGGCGGCCTGCGACGCCATCGGCCCGAGCGGCTCGCTCTCCATCGTGGCGCACTCCAACGGAGGGCTCGTTGGCCGGTGGGCGCTGGGAGAGCTGCTCGAGCCCGCGACGGAGGCGCGAGGGCTGCTTGATCGTTGGAGGCCGCAGCTCTTCCTCACGCTCGCCTCCCCGCACCTGGGCGTCTTCCCGTTCGGCCTCTTTTGGAGCGAGCGGCTCGTGCGCCGCGTCGCGAGCCTCGGCTACTTCGGCACCGCCGGCCGGCAGCTGGCGCTGCTCGACTCTGGCTCGGGCAACGGCGAGACCGCCGCCACGCCGCTGCTGCTCGCGCTGGCCGAGCCGCGAGGCCGCTACGTGAGCGCGCTGCGCCGGTTCGAGCGCCGCGTCGCCGTCGCCAACCGAACGAACGAGGTGCTCGTGCCGTACCCCTCGGCCGCGCTCCTCGCGCCCTCCGCGCCGCTGGCGGCCGCTCCTCGCCGCCGCGCCGGCGGCCGCTCCAACGTCGTGGGAGACG